TGAAGGTCTGATGTTTCTGTTCTTTCTGTTTGTTTAAAAGCTATTATATCCACTGCTATTTGTCTCCACCCACAGTTTTGGACATTGCTCTCTGGAAGAAAATCAGCATAGCAGCCTGATTTGTAACTCATGACCTGATGTCTTGATCAAAATCTTGATTTCGTTTCATCTCTTGGATTTTTCTTCTGAACCAACTTTCTGAATTGATTACTCCGTTTCTCTAAGGACCCTCCTGAAAGAATATAATGCAGTCACTCAGGTTGCTGACTTGTTTTCCCTTCAGGTGGTTTCATTTTATTGGTCCTTGTGAAAAATGGCTTCATTTTATTGGTGTGCACTGTACTTAATATACCTGTAATGCAATTGATAAAATGCGAAGTAATGAAGTGTATACGTTAAACAGCACATTGAACTTGCCTATGTAATTCAGCTTTGGTTTGCAAAATTTCCTTTCTAAAATATCATGTGCTGGTTTTATGGTATAGATGGACTATCAAGGAGTGGGTGCCAGGGTTTCAATCTCATCATCTATCTCCAACAATCACACCACTTTCAAAAAAATTGAAATTCCACAAAATTATGTTCCAAGTAATTTTTTTTTTCTGCACCAATTATTAGTGGTATTACTCCTTCAGAACTGACTAAAAATAAAAGTCTGTCAAGTTATGTGTCAGGAAAAAACTCTAGTCACTTAGTCTGTCAAGGAAATGGGATTCCATAAGCTTCTGATGTGCAAAATTATGAATTTTCTTTTCATTTCAAAATTCAAAAAATTCACTGACATTCTCCCCCCCGGGGCCCGCCTGCCCGCGTGGGGTGGAGAAAAAAATTCTGTTGCAATTGCATGTTTCATTTGAATAAAAGGCAAGTCTGTTTTGTCATCTCAATTGTGGAATTTTTAGCTTGGTGTTAAGTGAGAAGAAGCCCATTAGCTTTGCCTATAGGATTTTTTTAATTGTGGTTATTCCTTTTACAGGCTGTGAACCGGTGGGGTTACTATCCACTCATCCTCATAGGGGCTTGGACTTTTGGCACGATCAACCGCATCCATGATTTCATTGTACCAGGCCATAAAATATTTTGGCTTTCCATTCTTGATGTTGGGATGGCTGCACTAATGGTAACAACTGCAGCCACAGACAAACACTCTATACATATGGTTTTTTTTTTTCGGTGAATGCTTGCTCCACCATTGGCAACTTAGTTCTCCATGTTCAGATCATGCCTTTGTGCATATTGCGTGCACATATAAGCAAAGATCAAAATTTCGTTCAGTGTATTGTTCTGGTCAGTTTAGAAACGCAAATGGGAATGTTTTGGAAACATTTTGGAAAAGGGATGGAAACCAAGAAAAAGTTTGGAAATTTATTTCGAGTTTGTTGACCAAAACATACCGACACATTTAATCACTATTCGTTTCGGGTTCCATGGAAACATAAATGTTTTGGACGTTGTGAAACGAAATTTAGTTCCTTGCGTATAAGTAGGCAGTGCTTCAGTTTCGGTATTCATTGAGTTATTTGGAAGATTGCTCTTTATTTTTTTGTCAAGTTGTGTGTCTAGAAAGTAGCTGGTTTGCAGTTCTGAGAAGATGGTCTTTGGCAAACTGATGGCTAATTGATGATTAGTTATGAGCTTATGATCGAATACAAAATGGTTGTTTATTTTGAAGTAGGGCAAAACACAGTAATGGCTCTCAGAATGTGTGCTTGGTCTCACTTTGGTCCACATTCTTTGAATTATGCAACTTTAATTCCTAAATTTTTCAATTTGATTCTCAATGATCCAATCGAAAGTGGTGATTTAAAATCGCTAACAAAAGTGGTCATGTGTGTATCAGGTGGTTGGACATGTGGCCACTTTCGTTAACGATCTTAAACAAGTGTTTTGGATCGGACCATGTAGAGTCAAATTGGAATTTTAGGACTAGAGTAATGAAATAAAAAAAGGAGCAAAGTGAGACAGATTACATAACTTAGGGACCACTACATTATTTTAACCTTTGAAGTAGAACAATTGTCCGCACAACTCCATGCAGACAGACTTAGTGAGAAAGTGTATCATTGATTGAACCTAATTGGCTTGTTCACCCACTAAACATAACCTGGTTTGTGGAGAGATATACATATTTTTTGCACATATTGCGTACCAAGAAAGCATCTGGCATACAGTTTGGAAAAGAAGCATCTTTGACAAAATGATGGATGATCAGATCTAAGCGTATGATCAACACAACTGTGATGGGACCTACAGATGTTCAAGATGTACAGAAATCTAACGATGGAAATTCATGTCATGTGAAGAGAAAGCGTGCCATCATTGATTGAATAGATTGGCGTGTTCACCTTCTAAACATAACCTGATATTTCTTTATATGCATGTGCATGCGTGTGTGGGGAATATGCTTATATTTTAAACTAGCTTGATTGTTGTTCTAATCTTGATTTAGGGCCTGTTCAACTCAATAGCATATGGCCTTAACTCCTCGGTGCGGCGGGCAATTTTTGAAAGATTAGATCTGTAAGTCATGGATGCTGAATCTTTATTAGATATGAAGAACTTCTAAATTGTCTACGGGCATGTCTTTAAATTCTTTCTTATGAATATTGTCTAGACAATTTATTCGAACATGATTAAAAAAAAAACATCAACGCATGTACTACTCAAACCATCCCCTTCTTGAATTTGATAGGTTTTGGATATAGTCTCTTGATGCTACTGTTAAGTTCCCGTGGGTAGGTTGAAAGCAACAGCTTGTCACAGACATTGGTGCTCTCTTATGCCTCATCTCATCAATTGCTGCTATGTTTACTGTCTTTTGGGCTTCCAAACGTGTGCCTCAATTTTCTCCTGTGCCGTGGCTGATTTTTGACAGCTTTATATGTCCACTAAACTCTTTGAAATGGGTTTGATAATGGTTCTACTACTGAAGTAAATATGACTGTTAACGTCCAAGTGAACTTTTGTCTGGCATGTTTGCTTTTCTGGTTTGAATAAGTGGGTAGAACGCTAAATTTCCATAGAGATTTTGTGGCCTGTCTTTTGTCACCCAGTGTTCCATACATTCTTTAATAGCAATTCTTCTAATTTAACTTTGGTTCATTATTATCACTGTTTAATGTTTTTCATCTGCCTTCTTATGACCAAAAGTGATTACATCTTGCCTATTGGTTATTTTTTCCATTTTTTATTTGTGACCATTTTATTTCACAATAAATCTATTTTGAAATTGATGGTTGGAGATGCACGTTTCCAGGTTACCAGAAAGATTTCAACGATTCTTGCCAAAGAATTTTAAGTCCAGGGGGCAACATCAAGCGAGTGAACTAGTCTCATTGAAAATTGAGGACCAGCAGTAGCAGTTAGGAGTTTGGACGCTGTCTGTATGCTTCCACCTGGGAGAGGTGTAGTGTCTAGACTGCTGCAAATTTCATTGTTCGTTTATCATTTGAGAAAGATTGAAACCAGAACTCAAGGAGGAACACAGCTCCCAACTGATTTGGTTCATTACCACTCGTCAGACAAAGCCCACAGAACTCGTCATTCCATCTGCCTGTTTGGTCTTCTCTCTGTTGTAAAGTACCACTGACCTCATGCTCTTGAACCTCATTTGGAAAGGTTGATATCAGTATCTCACTTGACGTGCTATTACAGATAGAATATCTAACAGTGAGTTAGATTACTCTCACATAGAATGCAAATTATGATCAAGATGATATAATGATCTCTGTTTTTTTTTTTGGAAGAAGATGAATATCTACATTACCATTCATGTCTGGAGTTGGTTGAGAAATCTTCTATTTTCCTACTGTCATGTGCATTATTTTATTTTCTGTATTTCCCAATTAACTTTACAGTGTGATTCCTGATCATGTGTAATGCTGTTGTATAAAACATGCTTTCAATTATTTATTTATTTTTTGGTTTATTCTCGACTCCCTCTGACTGGATTCTTCTGATTTGTGGAACCTTATCACGGCTAAGTTATGTTGATTTTCACTTCAATGCATGTTCAATTTCAAAATTGGAGTTAGGGATATTTTATTACTTTGTTTAGTAGCATATGATGCAAGTCCAATTGACACTTGTTACTTGTTTCAGACTAAATGACTTGAAAGAAGATGAATGACAGTACGAGTAGGATAAGAAAATGCCTTCTTCTTTGTTCCCCCTGCCAGTCCCAGTCCCAGTCCCGGGGAGACAGGGATGTGGTTTGTTTAAGTGATTGACATTGAATTAGTTCACTCCCTACCTCCCTATCTATGCCCCCCTCCTCCTCCCTCTTCTCATTTCAGCTTCAGCTGATGCCTTGTTCTAATGCTTCTTCATGGTTATCAGCCCGATATAGAGGGATATTAGTGTCGAATTCAGGTTAAACCCAAAAATTCATGACCTCAAGTTTGGACTGTCCAGTCTATCAGAGTTTTTATCGAGCGGATCTCCAACCAAGCATCTCTCACGTGAAGGCTTGGCTAACAAAACTGGAATCAAAATGGATAAAAATGAAAAATGATCTTGATGCTCAAAATGGTATATGAATTGAAAGTTGTTTCTTACATGTACAAACAAACAAGACATCCCCAATTGGGAATTTTTCCACTCAAGGCTTCCCGGCCTTTTTCTGGTATATGCTGTGTGCTGTTTATGCTTCCTTTCCTGGTCACTTCCCCAAGAACTGATTTACTCATGGGCAGATCTTGTCTTTGTTCTTTTTGACTTCCAAAACGTCACCCATTGTTCGCTTGCTCAGATTTTCAGTCGTTGACTTGTAACCAACCATTTTGCAGACAATAAGCCCACGAAAAGAAAATAAAAGTAAAAACAAAAATAGAAATAGATATAGATTCAAATCACACAATTTTGTTCAGCAGAGAGAACTATACACATAAAGAAATCCAGATAGAAATGAAACTTCATCTGGAGAAAAACCATTAACAAGCACAACAAAGTAGTAATCAATCTCTATTACAGACAGATTTGTAGAAGATGATCGACCAGGTTTAAGCACAAGCGCAAGGATTGTCAACGACGACCAGATCTTGGTCATCGCTGCTCCTGAACAACAAATACCCGACGGCGAGCCCGGCGACGACAGCTATGAAGACTCCGGCGTTAAATGACATGATCGAAAGCATCAAGAGGTACCCGATCGCCGAGTTGATCCCAAATAATACGGCGCCGGCAAATTTGGACCATCCGGCGACGGCGACGAGCTTAGGGTAGAGGAGAGGGGTGTCGATCGTCGCAGCTTGTGGGGTTGTGGAGAGGTTCTTGGCGTTGAGAGAGGAGAGAAGCCTGAGACGGAGTCGGCGATCTTCCATGTACTGGTAGAAGACGGAGCAGAGGATGCAGGCGAAGAGAGAGAGGGAATAACTGAGCCATGAATCAGTCGTCCATGAATCGAACAGAATGGTTACCTTTCGGCCCCAATAGAAGGTCATGTGCATCATCTTCGCTTCTCTGTGTTGAGAGAGAGAGAGAGAGAGAGAGAGGAGAGAAGATGTTTAATGGCTGGTGGCTGTGCCTCTGGTCAAGAGAGAGAGAGAGAGAGACTGTTTTTAGTTTGGGATTCTTTTGGTTGGCGTAGAAGGTGAGGTAAGGTAGGCTTGGGTGTTGTCGTGTGTAGTACTTGTACGCCGAACCGAACGCCTCGTACGTTTTAACGTCCGCATACGAGTGTTTAGTACTTCACAAGGAAACCTTTTAGGAAAATGCTACAGATTTTAAAAATAGACTTAAAAAATTAAATTTAATAATTATAATCATTAAATAATTAATGAGGCTTAATAAATACCGAGACCCAAAGTGATATTAATAATTTTAATTATTAAGTTTATTTTTTAAATGTATGTAGTATTACTTAATTTTTTTAAATTTATTTTTTAAATCTTTGTAACATTGCTCAACTTTTTATTACGCCCCTACCATTTTACTTCAGCAAACCTACAGTATAAAAAAAATGTTATCATCCCCAAATATTCAACTTTGAAACTATTTTTAGTTTAATCTATGCTATTAATAAAAGTATTTTAATATAAAATTTTTTAATTCTCTATTTTATTCTTATAAAGAATTATAAATGTCATTCTATCCTTATATAATTAAATATTTAAATTATTATCATATTTTTATATGTTTAAATTTCTAAATTATCCTCTGATCTAATTATCTATTCTCTATATCCATCATTATAATCAACAGTATATTTTATTTCAATTGACCTAACTAATTCTTAATTATAGTAAAGTTTCAATATGATTAGGATATGGATAATTATTTTTATTTTAATCAACGAATTATAAATAGAGTCTTAATCAAATTAATTTCAAAAAGTTTAATTTTTCAAACATCACTAAAAAAAATCACTCTCAATCTTAAAATATTAAATATAATACTTTAATTATTATTATTTTTTTATCATTTTATAATTATAATTAGACCAATAAATCGTTATGACAGATGATCTTCATAATTCTATAATGCAATTTAAGCGATAAAAAAAATTATCCACGTGTAATACACGCACTACATTGCATGTTTAAAAACTTGTGTCGGACTCGGGCTAGTCAAAATGAGGCTCTATCAGGCTAGTAAATGTATTTAATTGGTCTTTTCTGTCATCATCCTGTTTCATCATATCTTAACTGTATATTATTTTAATTTGCCCTTTACCGTATAACCCCACCCCCGCTATTGTCACTACTACCGCAACAAATTTACAAATATCGTTATACCACACATGTCACAGTTGTTGCCACCATTTATCCCCCCTTTCCCATCACATTACCACCAACACCATAACTATCATCATCAAACTGCCAGCATACCTACATTATCATCACCTCATCAACAAACTCTATGACAACCATCGCTCAGGGTTATAAATGAATGATTGATTCCCAGATTTAGGATATAAAAAAAAAAAATATTTTGAAGGCTTTTGTTTACAATGCCTTCAATGGATAAAACTTCATCAGTGTTGATTACAAATGATAATAATTATTAACCTTCTTTTTGGTAAAAAAATTATAATTATTCTCTTTTTATTGTTTTTGTTGCCGTGTATATCAAATTTTAACCATTTATGTTTAATGATATTGTAAGTATCAAATTTGATTTTAGTCAATATGAATGTATAAACCCACCAGAGTTGGTGGTCTAATGGTAAGGTATACCCGTTTCTGGTCGTTCCCTAACTTCCACGATGTTAGCAAGTAGGGATCGATCAACGGGGTTCCCATGCCTTACTCATTAGTGCTTCGGTGGTAGTGTGTTGTTAATGTGCCCACCGTAAAATAATTAATTGACTCGAACCTTGCCATCACCCCTCTACCATGAGCACTACCCTCCACCATCCAATTACCACCATCACTATCCCCTCCCTGTCATTTCCACCACAATCACCATCATTACGACAACTACCACGACACCCCACAATCACTGTAACGTCCATCATCCTACTGCAACTAACATCACCACCTCTATCTACATTGCCACAACAATCACCATTATTACCACTCTACCACCGGCATAGTAATGGCGACGATAATGGATGGGTGATGGCAATGGGGGCTGGGGGTGTGATGTAACCATGGTGGCTTGGTGGTCATTGGGGGTGGTGTACTTGGTATCCATGCGTAAATATTTCGCATTGAATAGAACAAAAAGTTAAATTGTCTTAATATATTGTCGATAAATTCAATAATTATAAACTTAAGTTTTTAGGCAGGTATGAGTTTCGGATATATATATTAGGTCATAGATCACGAGACGCAAGACCTCTTAGCAAAGTGGTAATATGATGACTCATAAAGAATGATAAAATTTTAGTTCTTGGATGAGTGGACTCTGGTAAATAGTGATTGGACGTGGTGATTCTATATACTGGTGGATCAAACTCAAGGAAGAGTTGAGCATAATGTAGTTTACACATTAAGGGAAGATTGTTAGGTATTACATGTGTGAGACTCCCACATTGGATAGAAAAAGAAGTTAAAGGATCCTAAAGGTTCTCTACTTATAAACTTAAGGTTTTAGGTAAGAATGTGTTCTACACATATTTTGGGCCTTCGATCATTGAAGTTCCCAGTTCTCCTAACATGGTGGGGGCAATGGTGACAAAAATGAGATGACAATTGGGGGATGTTGGGCAAGAGAATGGCAATAGTGTGTCAGTAGGGGGGAGTGGGACAGTGGTGGTGCGGTATGGGTTGGTGATGTTGGGGATGATAGAGGGACAGTGATGGTGGTGGTTGTAATGGGGTGATGGTGGCAACAATGGTTGTGTGGTGGTTGCTTTTTTTTTTTGAATTAATAACTTATTTCTCTATGGTGGCGGTGGCAGTGACAGTGACAATGATGGTGAGGCGATAATGATGAGTTGGCGGTGGAAAGTTAGGATATAAGATGAGTTGAGATCAAAATATTTTGTGAACAAATTAAAATAAAATGAGAAACTTAAAAAACCCTCTTAACTTAATTAAAAAAGTGCGCAATATATCCAATTTTAAATGCTAAATTAGGTCATCAAACATTACCTATGTCAGAGAAGAGAAAACGAAGAGAGAACATGTGAGAAGAGAAGTAATGCCTCAGACTATGAAAGAGGGTCCCCCAATTCAAGCACATCTTAAATAATTTGATTTAGGTTGAAAATTTTCACGTAAGCCTAACCTGAGTACTAGACATCCTAACCCAAGCATTGATTGTTTTAAAGTGAGATTGGGTTAGCCTGTGCTAGTTGCAGCCTTAACCAGAAGCTGTGACATATGCCACGTGTGTGCAGAATTATTTTACAAACTAATTATTTACCAGTTTTGAATGAAGAGGAATTGTTTATTCTTTTTTTGGCTAGAGAAAAAAGAGTTGGGAACAAAGAAAATGCTTAGAGACTATAACGATAAGATCTTACTACTGAGATTATGAGACTCGTGACCAAGTTTGTTATTTCTGTTGAGAACGAATATAACAACTATGCAGTCACTAAAAAAATATCGAACACGAAACTAGTTTAACTAGACAAATTTGTTTAGATGATAATATATGAAGAAAATATATATTTTTTTTAATTATTGAACTTGTATAATATGAATCTTATATAATTAGATGTTTTTTAATGTAATTTTTTTATTTAATGGCTTAAGTGTCTCGATCTGATTTTGAGCACAACACAATTAATGGGTAAGTTGAATTATAGATAAAATATCCGACACGATTAATTAAATATACGAAGGATTTGACTACTAATCGACAACACCAAATGACCTTCTCCGGATCTGAGCTGCTTGTTAAGAGGAATAAGTTCCATAAATTTGGAGGATTAGCAAAGAACTTGGAGGACTCTAGTGGTGATCTTGTGATTCTACTAATCATGGAGGTGCATTGAGCAACCGAAAAATAGGAAAGCTTTGACGACGTCAAACATTGCAGTACATGTACTACACTTCCTCAAAAGCCCAATTGCGTAAGTGGATAAGTTTGGCCAACGGAAACTCTAACTGTTTGCTTAGGCCCTAACTGCTATAACTTAGCTGCTTTATTGCATTTCTAATAAGGTTTTATATTTTAATTCTTTAAAAGCGTATTTTTTTTATTTGAATTACTTATTTGTTTTAATACATATTCTAACAGATTTTCTATATTTTAATTTTTTTTTAAATATTATTTTTCATATCTTGTACCTTTGTTGAAACTATTTAACGAAGAGAGAAAAACTAGAAGGAAAGACAAAGAGCGGATAAGAGAGGGGGAAAGTGATAAGACGAGAGAGAATATATTATGAACTATTTATACATAATGCTACAGAGATATATTCTAAATATAAAACATCATTGTAACAAAAATGTATTTTACCTATTCTGAATATCTTCTATTGTATCATATTTTTTGATTTTGGATAGCTAAATTTTAGCTATATTATGGAGTTATAACTATTTTCTTGGAGATACTCTTAGGAAACTAGTTAGAAGAGAACGGCAAACTGAAATCTTTTCAATGGGTAATTCAAGTTTGCTATGAATTTGAAAATCTCCAAAATCCTTAGCAAGCGAGCTGGATTCCAAAAGCATGCTAAAGAAGGCCTTGAGGGTATCTAAAGAAGAGGTGAGCAAGGCCAGAGCTAGTGAGAAGGAGCTCATTGACTAGCTTGGGGCCTCTATTGAACATGCCCAACGTCAGGTTGGGGAAGCCAAAGCCAGTATTGTTGCAAACTTTCAGAAGTTGGCGGAGGTTACTCAGTTTGGGATGGGCTATTTTGAAGAAGACTTCGAGGAGTTCTGCCACCAAGCTTCTCATAAATTTCTTGACATGGATTTCTCCAAGATCAAATTGGATGATGACGACGCACCACCTAAGCAGGTTATAGGGAGAACCCCGACCGCCAAGCTGCTTCAACGAAAAATGGAGAGAATTAAACTTCTCTGTCTGAACACTCCAAGTCTCTGAAGTTTCTTCCTAGATTCCCCCCTTTTTTTGAAGCCGTGTACACACAACTTTCTAACTCCTTTGAATGCAAACAATATTCATATTCATTTGGTTCTTGGAGTTTTCTTTTATATCTTTTTGTATGTGTAGCCATTGCCAAGCTAATTAATTCTTGCCTTGTTATCAAGCTTTTGAATTTTTTAGCCTTGCTCTCGCTAATGGGGCTTTTAGTTTTAATTTAGAGGTTCAG